ACGACAACTATAACCAAAAAATAGCTGGGTGCTGTGGAGGGCACCTGTAGTCCCAGCTACTTGGGAGGCTGAGGCAAGAGATTGGCTCAAGCCCAAGAGTTGGAAGTTGCTGTGAGCTGGTGACGCCATGGCACTCTACCAAGGGCAACATAGTGAGACTGTCTCAAAAAGAAATTTTTTTTGTGGGGTGGTCCAAATGCAGTGGTATTTACAACTAATTAATCACAACCAGTTACAGAGTCCTTTGTTTTTTTCTTCACTTGCACTGCTTCATATGACTAGCCTAAAAAGATTTTTTTTTTTGGTAGAGACAGGGCCTTGCTATATTGCTCAGGCTGGCCTCAAACTTTTGGCCTCAAGCAATCCTCCTGCTTTGGCCTCCCAAAGTGCTGGCATTACAGGTGTGGGCCACTGTGCTCAGCCTTATTTATATTTTTGAATATATTTTTTTAATAGATAATACATTCATAAGAAATACAAAAAAGGTGGGGCGGTGCCTGTGGCTCAAAGGAGTAGGGTGCTGGCCCCATATACCGAAGGTGGCGGGTTCAAACCCAGCCCTGGCCAAAAACTGCCAAAAAAAAAGAAATACAAAAAACTCTACACTAAAAAAAATTCCTGGCCAGGCATGGTAGGCCACGCCTATAATCCCAGCACTCTGGGAGGCTAACAGGGGTGGATTGCCTGAGCTCTGGAGGTCAAGACCAACCTGAGCCAGAGCAAGATACCATCAAAATAGCCAGGCATTGTGGTGGGCACCTACAGTCCTAGCTATTCAGGAGGCTGAGGCAAGAGGATTGCTTGAGCCCAAGAGTTTGAGGTTGCTGTAAGCTATGATGCCACAGCACTCTACCCAGGGCAACAAGATGAGAGACTCTGTCTCAAAAAAAAAAAAAAAATCCCTCTCATCCTTCTCCCCCAGCCACTTAGCTCTAGATCAGTTTAACGTTAATTTCACAATGGTTTTCCTACTTCCACGCTTATATCCTTACTTAGTCATTTTTAGAACCATTCCATTTTCCTGTAAAAACACTGTTATCTAGGGCTTAAAATATAACATTCCCAGACAAGGTCTGGCTGATAACCTAAAATACTAACTTTTAAGAGAAAAGAACTAGGTCCGTCCAATGAAATGCCATACCCCTCCCCCATTTATTTGGTAGGACTTACTCAAAGATTTGTCCTTGGACATTATACCTCCTTCAGGCTTCTCAAAAAACGAAGAACTTGCAAAATCCTGCCACAGTTCAGGCTAAAATCTGAAGCTACAGGGAAACCAGCAAACAGGAAGCCTCTGCACCCTAAGGCTTGCAGTGAAGGGCTGCTGCTGGTCACGGGGTGCCAGACCCCTTGTGATAGCGGGACTCATCTCAGACTGACATCAGTGTTTCCAAGTTCTACATCTGCAGTTAGTCTTAAATGCAGGGAACAGCAGGGAAGTCTGAGAGAAAAGGGCTAATCCACCAGAAATACATAAAGGCCAGTTTGCTGCAGCCAACAAATGGCTATTATGAATCATCAAGTTCTAATCTCTTTTCTTTCTTTTTTTTTTCCGAGACGGAGCCTCAAGCTATCCCCCTGGGTAGAGTGCCATGACATCACAGCTCACAGCAACCTCCAACTCCTGGGCTCAAGCGAATCTCCTGCCTCCGCCTCCCAAGTAGCTGGGACTACAGGCGCCGGCCACAACGCCTGGCCATTTTTTGGTTGCAGCCATCATTGTTGTTTGGTGGGCCTGGGCTGGGGATTCGAACCCGCCACCTTAGGTGTATGTGGCTGGCGCCTTAGCCGCTTGAGCCACAGGCACCGAGCCGGAATGGAAATTTCTAAGAGGAAATTCAGATGTAGGAAGAAATAGTGAAAACATTCAAGAAGCTCCGATTAAATTCTGGTATAAGGTAAGGCCCTGTATTTTATTGCTCCACACACATCCAAAACATCAGGACATGTCACCAGCAGCCAAAGCGCTCCAGAGGTTATCATGCCAGTTGTGGGAACAATGCTGCCTTTGTAAGCATTGCTTCTACAGAAACCAAACTTGTAACTAATCTCGGCTCAACTCAAAATTGGAAATAAGATATGAAGGCAGGTCTCTGTGGTTATAAATCCATTTCATTTACAATCAAGTCACCAGATGGTGACTGCTGAATGGAGTTACTGGAATAGATGATGAGAAGGAAAATATGGTAAATTTCTGTTTCTGACATAAGCCTAATTTCAAATAAAAATTAGAAAACACAAAGTTGTAAATTACCATCTGACATCTTCTGTTCACGACCCAATACCATAGTGGATACCTGAGTGCCTGAGTTCTTAGAATAGGATTCTGGAAAAGAAGAAAGGGAGGAAGAATCAGCAAGAACATACCAACAATTCAGAACCAGTATTTTGTTACACTGTGTGACTAAATACTTACTACGTGAAAAGAATAATTCCTCTATTGAATTAGATAGCCTTGAAAATAATTATACTATTCAGAACATGATTAAGATATATTTAACAAAAACAGAAAAGTCTTAGTCACATTTTTGCTGGCAAGGATTCAAAACCAAATTGAAGCAAAGGCATTTTAGTGAGACAAGCAAATACTTTTCAGAAAGCATCCACAGAGAGGCTGCTAGGCAATTATCCAATCTTTGCCTTTGCCTCCAGATTACTCCAAAGGTCTAAAACAAGACTGTTTCCTCCCAATTTTATGAGGTTTTAAGGACAGAAATTATAACTGTCTTTGCTGTAATAATTTAAGCTCATGGATCAATTTGGAAAGGGTAGGAAAAAAGCACCATACAAGTATCTAGTAATAGAGGGCCACTATCACACAGCCTTAAACTTTCCTAAGGAAATTCTTCATCTACAATGTTCCAGGCTTCTTTCTCCAACCCTCTGACAACCAGTTAAAGAAACTAATCACCAATGGCCCAGCCCAGCAGGATAAGGTCTATGGGATGCCAGAATGCCTCCAGGTCCCACCAGTAACTTGTATGGGGATAGGATTAGAGTCCTCAGATGTCCAACATCTTGTGTTAATTTTAATTAGGGGGAAAGGGAAGTATTAGCAAGCCCCTGTGGCCACAGATCTATGGCATATCCTCCAGGCAGCCTCACTAACAAGGCTGATTTTTAACATTTCAATCTCTTTATTATTTGGAATCAGCTAATTCCAAATTGGGAAGGACAAGGTCACATCTGTCAGTCCCTCCCTTAAATCCCAGTAACTATCCTACTGAAAGGTGATGATGTCTCTCTCCATCACCTTTTCCTGTTTAAATCTCATCTCTTTTCCACTCTTGTCCCTCACATGGCTCCCATCTGAACAATCCCTTTCCTTTTTTGGCAAATGTATCTATCAACACATTCTGTATCTATCTTTTTATTTTTTTGAGACAGAGTTTTGCTTGTAGCCCTCAGTAGAGTGCCATGGTGTCACAGCTCACAGCGACTTCAAACTCTTGGGCTTAAGCCTCTTGCCTCAGCCTCCCAAGTAGCTAGGATGACAGGCGCCTGCCACAACGCCTGGCCATTTTTTGGTTGCAGCCATCATTGTTGTTTGGCGGGCCCGGGTTGGGGATTCGAACCCGCCACCTTAGGTGTATGTGGCTGGCGCCTTAGCCGCTTGAGCCACAGGCGCCCAGCCATCCTGTCAGGTTTTAAGCTACCAGAAGGCTAAACTGACAAAACACCAGAGCCAATAACACTAGCTAAATCCAACCCTTCTTTCAGTCAGTTACAAAAGCACCTCAATGGGCTGTGTATGTCTGACCCCACACAGGTTTGGAATGCCCCCTTGGCACTCCCCAAGGTCTTTTTACTTGTGGTTTACATATAATTCTAATATGCCAGGTTATCCGATTATCTTAACCCACAATAAATTAGAAACCACAAATCAAATCTGGAACTGTAAGCAAAAATAACATTTCAGAACCCTCTAAATTTATTATGCCAAGGGTAAGGTAAGCCCTGGAAACTGAGTCACAAAGCATGTTTACAATTCTGCTTCTTAGATTATATAATGGTTTACCTTTCTTCCTCATTGTTCTTATTCTATAAATGACTAGGAGAGAAGAGAAACCAAGCCTCTCCCCCTTCTAATCACTGATCTTTGCAGTAAATGAACCACCTCCCTTATTATCCTGTCCCTAACTCAGAATAGATGGTCCCCAAGACCCAGTGAAAATTACATTTCAGTGTGGAATGTTAAATATACCTTTCCCCAAAGAAAAAGACTACCTTAACTAATCATATCATTTTAATTATGTGCTAAGCTCACTGAAATTCTATTTAACTTCACTAGCTTTGTGTATATAAGTGATCCCAAATCTCTATACTTTGGAACACTGATTTCCATTCTTTAGAATCTGCTTTTCAGACAGCCTGCCCTCAAACGTTGTACTTAAATGAATTCTATTTTAACTACATTCTGACTCTGACTATTTTAAGTTGACAGGACTATGGCTCGTATAGGAAGAGAAACTTGGCACACCGAGCAATCAGAAGAACTTTCAAGAAGCAAATTAATTAGTCTTCAGCTATTTGGTATGAGGCAAAGAGCCTTTCCTTATATGTCAATCGGTTCTGAGAACATTATTATTACAATAACTCAAGCTTCTGACTGTGGCTTTAATTACCATGTATTGATTGATAGAACTGCTTTCTGTAACGATGGTTGATATCCTGTTTAAGAAGGTACAGAATTGTGTAATACATTTAAGGAAGATTTCTATCCAAAATAGTCTTTTTTTTTTTTTTTTTGAGACAGAGCCTCAAGCTGTCCCCCTGGGT